CATCCAAGACTGCGCCGAAGCTGTGGCAAGAAAAGGTCCTCCGTGATGTTTGAAGCAGCCGTTGGCACCCTTTTGATGTTAGAGTCTTCTTTTTCAACACTGCGCAATAGGAGTATGGCTGCCGTTGTTGCACGAGGGCTACTGGGAACCCAGCAGAGAGCATACACAATCCCAGCCAGGCGATAACACTCGAGATTTCAATTCCCAAACCGCCTCCAGGACACCTGGCGACCACACAGGACAAGTTTTTTGTGGCAGTCACCGAGAAGACTCGTGATAAGATGGGGACGTTAATGATGAGAATAGGGTTTTAGGTGATGCTACCGTAAAACTGTATTAGGAGTTATAAGGGGATGTGATGTCTAGTTCTTCCGACCCATACATTATGACAGCGGATGGTAAGTCTTGCGACAGCCACAGTCAGACTTTTGCTTTCATGGGTTTGGCAGAGAGTCGGCCAGATATGATGAGCGATGAGGAACGGGTCTGTACTCCAGTGTCACAGTCCCTTGACCGTCGTCCCTGATTCTTTGGCTCTGGCATTAGAGCTTGAGTTTTTTTTCCAGGCGTGTTTGTTCGGGCCGGGGTTTCAAGATCACGGCTCCCTGCAAGCAAAACCTTTGGAATCCCACTAAGACCCTCTTATACCCTAAAGCCCCCAAGCCTTAAAGTCCTAAAATCATACATGCTAATCTGCTAATGTCTTAAAAGGCAAGACCTCCCAAAACCCTAAACTCTATGTCAGACTTTACAGCATGCAACACCCAAATCCCTTCTGAACGGCCCTCCTGCATCTCCTCGGCGTGCTCCGCTCGCAGGAAGCCCTACGTTGAGCTGCTGTCAGAAGGGTGGGAGCCGGGACCCTGCAGGGGGGGCTGTAGTTAATCTTCACAACTATACTGATAGTACGAGTAATCGCCATGGGAATGGAATGGGAACAGTAGTGGTAAGAGCAGCAACTGCGCTTGCTCCTGCTCCGGCACCTGCACCTGCACCTGCAGCTGCAGCTTCTCCTGCACCTGCTGCTTTGCCGAGATTCTCTCACGCTTGGAGCTTCGAGCCGGAGCACAATCCGAACCGGTCGGGAAACCTTGGGGCTTGGCAGCGGGGTGCAGGTTCCTTGAAGGATTAGAGGGTCTATACGGGTCTATACGGGGCTTGCCCTTTTGCAGCGGTGTGCTTGGTGTCTTTATGGGTTTTGGGACAAGGTTTGGCAAGGGTGTATACATACATTATATATACATCCATTCCACATATGTATATATATACACACACCTATACATGTATGTATATATATATATATATTGTGCGATCTCTCTTTCTCTCTCTCTCTCTGTACAAAGCATATGTATATACATATACATATACATATATACATAGATACATATCTACATATATACATATACATATATACACATATACATATATACATATATACATATCTACATATCTACATATATACATAGATACATAAATACATATATACATATCTACATATATACATATGTACATACATACATACATACATACATACATACATACATACATACATACATACATATAAACATATATACATATATACATAGATACATATACACACATATATACATATATACATATATACATATCTACATATATTCGTATAAACATATGTACATATACATACATATGTACATATATACATATGTAGACATATGTACATATATACATATATAGACATATATACGTATACACACATATATATATATATATATGTGTGTGTATGAGGAGCCTTTCTGTATAATGTGACGTACCTGTCTGGGCAGGAGGATAAATTAAGGAGTACACAGTTTCGACGGTTTGGGTGGTCCGGGTCTTGGCCCGAACTATCTAAACTATCTTTGGGTGGTCCGGGTCTTGGCCCAAGCTATCTTGACTATCTTAACCCTTCCCGTCCAGGACCAGCGGAACCTCCCCAAAGTATCTAAGCCGGGAGGGTTAAGATAGTTTAGATACTTTGGATAGTTTGGGGAGGTCCCGGGAAAGAATCAAGAGGGAGCTGCGCGAGCTGCAGAAGCGGAAGGAGGTGCGTAATAAGTCTAAGGCCACATGGCAGATATCACTTACTGAACCACATTGTTGGGGCACAAGCTTGGCGCAAAGTTTTGTCCCGCTGCTCGCTTGAAATACGGTGTAGTGTCCGGCATTACAACAAACTAATTCATAAGTCCTGCGTGTCCTCGCTTCCACGGCACAGAGTAGACGCAGAGAGTACTTTCAAGCGCACATACCTTCAATGAGCAGAGGTTCCACTAGCCGATGGTACAACTGGAACACCATTACCGGAGAATGCCGTTGGTGAGGCTTGGAAGATGCATGACATAGAGCAAATTGTAACGATTGAGGCTCTAGTTGCTCCAGTGTGGAAGCCACAGCATGTTGATGCCTAGGCCTAAACCAATTCAACCCTCAACCCTAAACCTTGTATGGGAGTCGATGAGACATTTTCGGCGGTTTCGGTGGAAGTTTTAACGTGCTTGGGCACATATCCCGAGCCTACGCTGATGGGCTAGGCGTGTTATTTGTTTTTGGGGCCGGAGTCCTAAGTTTGCGGTACGGTCTGAAGGCTGAACCGAAAGCCAGGATTTGCGGTTTTAAAGTCAGCTTTCAAGCAGCTGAACCTCCTGAAGCTAAGCCATACATAAACCCGAGATGAAGTCAGGATCAATGCTTTGTTGCCTAGGGTCTCGAGTTAATTTTTTTTTGATATGGGGGCTTCTGGAAACTAAAAAACAGCCCCAATCCTTCCTGGCCTTGCAGTCCAAACTCCCACAAAACCTGGCATTCTGAAACCTGGTTCTAATTCTGCAGCCTTGAAGCCCCAAAGCCCAAAGTCCGTATCACCAGTCCCAAAATCCATCAGCCGATGAAGAGTCTGGGTTGTGAGATTCTACCGCGGTCTTAATCACAGAGAGCCTGCATGGAGTGCCAGGTTCTTCCGCCTAAGTCTTCAACAAGGAGTCTGACCAGGGTTAAGAGCTCTGATGGGCTGTAGCCATTGGATCGAGAGGTCTTTCTATGTTCAAAAGAACAAGTGAGACTCCACCGTCTAGTTTCTTTTGTTTGCTTCCCCAGCCAGCCAGCGTTTTGTGTGTGACGCAGCCTTTGTGCCAGTGAAGGGGCACAGCCACCAAAGCCGTCCGGGCCGAGAAGCCCATTTTTCACGAGCTGCACGAAGCAGTCCAAGCAAAGCAGTAGAGCCAGCAAAGAGTCGGAACTTTCCCTTTGCCTGCGACTACTAGCGACCGCCACTGTCATGTTTAGAGTTTGTGCGTTTAGAGTTTACGGCCTCAGGGTTTGGGTTCCTTTAAGGATTCTTTCCAGCTTTAAGGGGTCCTTTAGGATATCCGGTTCCCTCAAGGGATTTACTGGCGGATCATGAAGGGTTCATTTTATTTACGGTTTCTGCGATTTGATGCTCGAAGGTTTTAGCATTTAGGGTTTCGGGTTACAGTTACGGGGATGTTTCCTGCGTTCCTTCTCCGGGCTCCTGGAGGATTTGTAAAAGTTTTCCCAGAGACTCGAATTCACGATGTGGATCAACATCGGGAAGTATAAAGACGATGGTTTTGAATTTCAGGGTCTATGTAGTTGTTCAAACTTTACGCCGCTCTCGAACAGTAGGATCTTCACGGCTTTTTGGGTTGCGGCCCTTTGGGACTCAGGCGCATAATTTAGGCTCGATACATACCCAGGTCAAGGCTTTCCCGAACCAAGCCTCGTACGCCCCTAAATAATTCCACCCAAACCGTGCCACGAACCTGAAAGTCTTCTAAGCCATAACCGCCGGCTGACACATTTAGAATCCCGAAAGTTGTCTGCTACGCAGGTTTGCGGGCAAGGAAACCTCTGCGTGCTAACCACAATCAGCTGCAGCTTCTGCAAAGCGAACTCGAAAAGTTTGTGAACCTACTCGGATGTGTGTGCCTTTGGGCTGTCCCCTTCATTCATTTCAAGTCAAGCAAAACCACAATAGTCTAGCAGGCATTGAGTAGCATAGTTTTTTTGTACTTTTGCAAGGCTTTCATCGAATGTGGCACATGCAGATTGGATATATGTTGTCTTATTATAAACAGAAGAGAGAGTCACATTCTACATAAAGGTTCCTGCCTTATATATATATATATGTATACATGTATATGTATCTGTGCTGGTTTACAGGGGGCCGGGGTCCAGGGTTTCGGGGTGTCTATTGCTGTTGTGTTTCCAGAGTTTGGTGGGGGATGGGGGATGGGGCCTAGGGCGCCGGGATTCGTCTCGAACTTGGGCCACAGAGCCCAACACCCTTACATCAGGAACATCCCGTAACGTATGGGGTTTGGGGTTTAGGATCCGTACTTTAATAGGATCCGAGCAAAGCTTTTTTGCGTAATTGGTGGGTGTTGGGCTCTGTGGGTTTGAAGCCCAAGAGAAGTAGCCAAAGGGTCCCTTACCAGGCATCCCTACACATCCCTTAGCTTAACTCCATATAACCTACCTGTTTAAGGATTTATACAAGGAAATCATAAGAAGGAGCCCGGAAAGAGTAGGTTTCTTGGGGCTCAGGTACCTGCTGTTAAGTTCAGGAATCGTGATCGATTCAGTGGTTGTAGGATTTACTGATACCTTCAAACCTCCAGACCCAAGCTCCAGAGCCCTAAAGCCTCAGCACGAAAGGCTCAGCACCCCGGAAATCCTGAATCCCCAACACCTTTAGGCCCCACAAGTCCAATCTATCTTGACTTGGAACCCCAAGCCCTCTCAGAAGGGACTGCCATAGAGCAAGAAGAGCCCACCATGGAAGTGCAAACACAGAAACAGCACATGTGCGAGCTTGTGCGCATATGTAGGCGTCTATGTGTAAACGTAGCAATGCACATGCCTGTGCATTTATGCGTATGTGCATGGCATAGATTGCATAGTGCTACTTTTTTCAGCAATAGCACGCACGTAAATTGCATGTACGCATAGCATATTTCTATATATCACAAAACACACAATACTCAAAAGCCCATGCCCCATGGCAGGCCAACCTCAACCCTAAACACTAATGATAAGCCTGATACGTTTAAAAATACCTCACTTAGAGAGCCCAATACTGTACCGTTCAATGAAGGGAATTTAGGTTAAGTGATAATATTAAAAGCGCCCTATATGTTGAGGTATGTTCCTTAGGGGGTATGGGGCTCTCTGTGCACTTTGGAGCAGCGTCCGAAAAGCGCCAGCTGAGGCCTCCGCCTCCCCGGGGCGATCCGGGAGGAGCCCTGAAGTCTGCGGTTTATTTGTTTATTTAGGGTTTACGAGGCTTGTGTAGGGTTCCTTTAACAGGCTTTATAGGGGTTGCTTGATCAGGGTTGTCCAAAAACTGAGTAGTAGAAAGGTTCAGTATAGAAGCCTGAAAAGTTACTAACATCCTTCCTTGGGGTTCCTTATTATGATTATACTATAATACACTCCCGAAGCCCTAGTCAGTCTTATTTTGAAGGCTTTTTCAGGGTTTCGGACTTGAGGCTGTTTGTTGGTTTTATAGCGGCATAAACGCGCAGGAAAAACAGGGGCTGACAAGGCCTGGGGTCTCGCGGGGGATTTTGGGTTCAGGGCTTTGGGGCTTTATATAGGCTTTGAAGTTCTTGGTGGGGGATGTTCGGTTGGTTGTCGTGATGTGCCCTCAGTTAAGGAACATTAAGGTTATCGGGCTCGCATGGTTGCTTGGTGCAGGTGTCGGCACCTGGCGCGCCGAACCGGCGAGCTTTTTTCAGAGCCGTTCAAGACCTGGGCGCGGCTTTGAAGCCAATACTAATCGCAATACTAATACCATTGTAACACTAATACTCATACGGAATACAAATGCTAACACAGTCATACTAATAGATACTACGGTACCCTTAAGATGGTAGCTTGGATTAGACTGCTTGCGGTTTCAAGGTTGTTTGGAGTTCTGGGCTTCTGAGTTGTTGTTTTCGGGTTACTCCGCGCCATGTTGTTTTTGAGAGTCATGCTTTCGGGCTTAGAGTTGCACTTCCACAAGGGGTGGATAGGGGGCATAGGGGGCCTACACCGGTTCTTTAAGGGGCTTTGGGGAGGGATGTAAAGTTGAGTTGCTACTTGGGTAGTTCTCTAAATTCGGGTTTCGCTGTAGGTCCCGGATACGGCATCCTTACAAAAAACGGACCCTAATCTAGATAATTGCCCATTTGAAGGAGCGAATAGGAGGTTCAACGTTGCTGCGGCTCCTCCGAGGCTCGGTCTGCGTCTTGGGGGTTCTTGAAAAAAAGATCCCGCTAGGTAGTTATGGATTCGGCTTTGGCTTTAGGGTTGAGTTGGGGGTTTAGGGTTTAGTTTAAGGATCTTGCTATTTTCGGCTTTATAAATGAAGTGTTTGGATTTTATTCTAGGCTCCATTACTCCCTCTTGACGGTGTAGCGTTTAGAGTTTACTTGGAAATGTACCCTGTGCTCATAACTCTTGGTACTTTGCTTAAATGCCTGCCTACTGCAAGCACCCTCTAAACTCTAAGCCCTCGGCTCTAAACTCTAAACTCTAAGCCTCTTGCAACTCGCCCTTGAAGCCCAGTTGGCAGGTTGAACACGCAGCAGAGCGATACTTTTCCGAGCGGCCCTCAGAACCCATTGAGCCCAGAAAGCCCAATGCTGCAAGATCAGGAGAGTCTAGAAAGGATTTTAGTTCCGAGGGATCTTGCAGGCAGTGCCGGTATCATTCTGTCATCACTACCGATCTTCGTCGTGCGGCTTCCGTGTTCTTGCAGCTAGTCCTGACTTCGTGGATGCCGGATCTCCCCTGCCTGCTTTCGGGACCCAAGCTGCTGCTCTTTAGAGTCGGTTTCTACTGCGGGCGAGTCCCTAAACCCCAAACCCTAACCCTGACCCTTCGGCTCCGTCCTTGCGTTCACGTCTCCATGGGGCTTCCAAACCAATGTCGCTGAACTGCGCGATGTTCGGACACTTTCGCTTCCCCATCACCCCCCCAGACTAGGCAAAAAACCTACAGGTTTGAGAACACAGTGACCGGCCAAAATTCCTAGAATGTGCGATGTTCGACAGTTTTGGTTTCCAACCCTCCAAATTAGGCCAACATCCACGATCGTCGCAGTGGAGGCTGCTCTTCGTGGAATTACAAGCAACCCTTTATGCCCTACCGAGTGCCTGGTGCGGCAGATCGTCAATGGCTTCTTGGACACTGCTGCTGTAAAGAGTTCGGACAAGTGCAGCAGCATCTGAGTTTTTCTGGGCCAATTCCTCGAATTCTCATGTCGTTCTGTGAGCGAGGTAGCCCCTTGTGTGGAGCCAAGCAGCCCCAAAATCCAAAGAAACCCTCTGAAACACGAAACGCTTGTAGAACGTGTGCAACCCTAGCCCTACCACCTTAAGAACAGGACTTGAAGTTTCTCAGCGTGTTTCTTTGCAGTCAGGTGGCATTGGGAGGCCAATCGCAGGAGTCCTGGTGTACCGGGTTCACAAATGGGATGGTTATAGAGTTTATCGGGCGCCTTATAGAGTGAAATCTCGGGCTTAATGATGGTTTTGCAGGGATTGAGCACGAGTTTCGTAGGTTTTTGGGGGTTTACGAAGAGGATCAAGGGGCTTAGTAAGTAGGTAGGGTTGAAAGCAAAGCACCTAAAGCTATACTTATTACATCCCAAATGAAGGTGAGTTATCGCCAATTGATGATGGTGTCGCTTTCCTGGCTGAGGATGCAGAGGTTTGTCCCCAGCGGCAGTCAGAAAACCTTGGAACTTTCCTCGGGACAAGTGGATCTTGCGCGGTCAAAGCAAGACCTGTCCTAAACCCTGAGCCAGAAAAGCAGCTTACTGCTTAAGTATGCCCACAACTAGCCCTTAAAAGCATCCCCATATAGTATCCCTTATAGCCAGCACCCTTGTGGTAATCAGCGCTACCTCCATACTCCAGGACATGCGGCGCTGGCTTTCGGGCCGCAGCGGCGCTGGCGAGGTCCCAGCCAGGGCTTTCTCTTGCACTTATGAATGAAGGAATCCAGGGTTTAGGGTTGAGGTAATTAAGGAATGTCGGATTGTGGGTTTTTTGTACGGACTGATGTTCATGATTCGTTGAGGGCTTGTAGGCTTCTCACTTGAGGAAGCTTGTTTACATCACTCAGGGCTTGGCATTATGGTTTAACGCCTCTCTGCCTGAGATGGCCAGTCGTTGCGGGTCAGAGTACGAGCTTGAGGGTCTCGAGCGTAGGGTTTGACCCCTGCCAAGCGGCTTCGCCCTCGGGCTCTCGTGCAACATCCGCCATGCAGTCACTGAGCACACTTTTCCTGGGCTAGTCCCAAGACCGAGCCAGTCTATCACCGCAAAATCCTCGTCAACTTATACTCAAAAAATGATGCCCTAAACCTTAAAATCCTGATACTTGCTTGGAAGGAGCCATACGTGCTCGAGTTCCGCCTTGCCGAGGAAGAGAGGCGATTTCTGCGACCAAGAGCCCCAATTTTATCTGTTGTTCGCTGCATGTTCCAGCTTTTCAGCGTAAGGTCTGCAGACCTTACAGCCGTAAAGCCGCAAACCCTAAATGGCCACAGTCCCTTCTGAAGCCCAGAACCTTAAAGTTCTAAGAAGCCTTCAGAAGCTACCAAGGAACCTTACAACCCTCAAAAACCGCATGGACAAGTCCACCAAACATGAATCCAGTTCACTCACGAAAACCCTACAAGCCTCTTGAACACTTGATAAAACCCCAAACCCCGACCAGAGCTTCATGAGACCCCTGGAGTAGAGAGCCGTGTTGACAAATTTTCAGACCCTCGAATGGACCATGAATCCTTTGTGCAAGCATTATAAAACACCCTTAAACAAGGCAGTGCTGCCCCTCGCCGCCACGAAAGGGTTAGAGCGATTTTGGAAAAACGTGGGATTTCTGCGCAGGCGCGTTTCGGGAAAACTTTGCGTAGGACAGCAGTTGGCAATATCTAAAAGGTATATATACCCTTGATAAACATGCTTTGTGGTTCTACACCTAGCAACTGGACCGCACTAATGCCTTCTGCCTGTGTTCTGTGTGCAGCAAGATCTCCTGAACATCTGCGAGAAGTGACCAAGGCTTGCGCTTCAGGGCTCTTTTAGGTGCTGCCTGTCCACTTCTATAGGGTGTCGGGCCTCAGACATGTCTGCAGAGGCGTACAGAACGAAGAAACTCACCCGAAACACAATATACCAACGTGCCCAAGAACCGCCCCGTGAGCCGCAGCAAAACGGCCAATTCGTGTCGAGCATCATTCCAGGTGGTGCTTGCCCAGAGTGTCAGTCGCGGACAGTCTCGTAAATACCAGCCATTTCGCGTGTTCGGGACAAAACGACGCTTGCCAAATACCGTAATATTTTCGAGCCTGAAGACCCCCCTTCAAAAAAAAACAAAAGCTGGTTTTTTTGGAGCCCAGTGACAAAAAACGAAGCAGGAGAGTGTAGGCAGAGACAGCGGAAATGCCGTAATTATCGAGGATTTTGGTCGTGCGCATTCAAACGGGCGGCGCACCCAAACAATGCGAACGTGCGGAAAGCAGAACCAGAAGAAGATTGCAGTGAGAAGGAGCGAAAGTGCTGTAAATACCGAGAAATTTGCATGTCCAGACACAAACGGATGTTCTCAAACCCCCCCACCCCACCCTCCCCCATTGACCCGCCACTGACTTTGGCCAGACGGAAAGTGTAACACCTTCCGCAGCGGCGAAGGGCGGTGCTGCCTTAAACAAACGACCAAGTCCCGTGTATAACTGACACAGTCGCAGCCCCTTCAATCATTCCAAAGACTTCCGGTTTAAAAGAATCCACAAAGCCTAAGAGGGAGATTTATTATAGAACCCTTTAGCGCCCTTTATGAAGGGAACGCCTTCAAGGTACACTTTATACAGAACCCCAGTACAATAGAACCTTTTTGTACCTTTTATGGTATCCAAGAAGAGGAGATGGGACTATCGCTTCGCCCGGGTAGCCAAGCTGAGCTCCGCGACTTGGAGGCTCGGGCGTTGCCACCTTGGGTTTAGGGTTAAGGGGGTTGGGGTTTAGGGTGTAGGGGGCTCTGTAAGGACAGGGCCTAAGTAAGAATTGTATTGTATAGGTTTGCATAAGGGTTCCGTTGGGAGTTTAGGGGGTTCAGGGGCTTACAAGGGTCGCCCAAAAACTTATGATCGGCGTATGCGAGGTTCATACGAAATTTATACACAGTCTACGAGGGCAGGGTTCGTCAAGGGTGTCAAAAGGACTTTACAGAGCTGTCTGAAGAATCCGTAGCATCTTTCGTATAGGACTCCCTACTGGATGCATGGCGCAAGATACCTCAAATCCTTGTTCTACATATATAAAGCTCTACATCACATTGTTTTACAACAAAGTTGCTATTATGAGCTATAGCTATTGTTGTCGTTGGCATGAACCTAGCTGTTACTTGCCATGCTGGTTGCCTCAAGTCAAGTCACGAAGGTTTCAACAACACTATGGTTCTAATTGTTACTTGAACTGTTTGTTGCTGTAGCACAGGTGACCGGAATGGTTGCAACCATAAGCAGGCTGCCGGCCCAAAGACTCCAGTGCTTCCCGTCCCACGTAGCAACTCGCCCGTGAGACCTCAACTAGGCACTGTACATCCACAACCCAGACCCAGTGAAGGCCCAAACCTTCAAGCCTTTAAACTCCGAAATCCTAGCTCAAACTGTCTAAAAGACTCTGAACTTCTAAACTCCTAGGATAACCCCTACCAAACCTCACCGCGCACTGCACGCCCCCAAACACGAAAACTTGTGAACCCTACTCTGACGCCTGAAGCCTTCGAGCCCGAAGCTGGGCTCCTCGCACTTCCGGAGCTGAGAAACCAACCAAAGTCTCCTTAGGATTTAGGGTTTAAGGTTTGATTTTCCAGGGTTTGTGGTCATGGTCCAGCTTTTAAGGTTTTAATAATTTGGGGTCTAGGCGGCTGGGGACAGCAGCAAGGCCCTCTTCCATGTCTTAATGTAGACTCGAATTTGCGAACCCCGCGCCGTATCTCTAATCGACAGCAACGCTCCTGGGGTGCGGGTTTCCTGCGGATCCCATGAAGGCCTGTAAGCCCAGGTTCCTACAAAAGGAGTTACTTGACCCTAAACCCTGAACCACCGCCAAAAATGGAAACAGAGTTCAACGAAGCTCGAAGCCTCAGGTTCACGGACGACTCCTGGACCCTCTGTCTCCCACCAATACAGAGGAACGTAGGGGCTTGAACTACAAATCACCAAGACCCTAAGCGAGTTCTTCAAGCTTTCTAGCATTGCTGTTGCGGGAGGCCATTGGCTTGGTCCTGCGACCGTCACACTGTTTTCTGGCTGGCCTGCCAGCGGCTAAGAAGAGCGATCGGGGTTGCATTGTTCTAAGCGGCGAAATAGTGCCTCAACCCTGCAGACTGTAGACAAACCTCCAATTGCGCACCAACACGCTGTTTGCCGCATTTGCCGCACCCGTGTGTCAAGCACGACCACGTCGGCACGCCTTTGCTCCACTGCTGTCCAGTTTGATGCTATGGATCGCGGGGCCGGCCAATCAAAATGTGAATGGCGAGGGCTGATTGTGTCCTGCCAAGACTATGAAGCACCCATGGAGCAGCTTAGCGGGCCCCATGCCGATGCAGATATGATGTTTGAATGCTTTGACAGGCTTACCAATGCCGCTGCATGGCCGAATAGGGTCCACAGGGGCCTAGTGCGTCTTAGGGATCCAACGAAGGAGGAGCTCAAGGCGGCACTGCGAGGGCTAGTGGCACCTCCAGTAGCTGGTTGCAGGCTCCTCTATTATTTCGCTGGGCATGGTTACGAGTCAAATGGTTTTGATTATGGAGCAGCGACAGATTCGAAGTGGGCTGCTGGAGATGATATGGCAGTTCAGCAACTTCAAGAAATGCTCCAAGAACCATGCTTCCTTTTTACAATTCTGCATTGTTGCCGAGAGATGCATCAACAACAGGGTGTGCAGCACGGACGTTCAGTTCTCGCGCATCGGAGGAGACTGCGTCCCGATTGGCTCTTCCTCTTTAGTTGCTTATCGCGCGAACTCTCGGCTGACAGGTCCGCCTTCACATCAACTCTATGTCAACTGTTACAGGTGCCCGGCCTCCGAGTAGAGGATCTGGCCAAGGAACTGCGAAAGCGACAGCTCAGGGCTGATATCCAGTTCAGCCTGGAGGTGACCCACTACGTCGTCCCACCGCGGCACCATTGGGCAAGGGCACTTGCTTGGTTTGTTTTGGCACTTCCTCTAGCCATCCCAGCTGTCTTTGGGGGTGAAGTTCCCGATGCCTTGGCAGAGACGACAAGGGCAGTTGTTCAGAATTTGCGGCATCCTGCTAGATGCAGTATCGGAAGCATATCCTGCAATCTCCTGAGTCTTACACAGGTCTTGACAAGTCTATATGCTCTTGTTCTGCATCTTGGCGGCACATCGTATCCAAAACCGTGCGACAGTGACTCGTGACGGCGGTTGTAGAAGATCCCAAGTAGAAGAAACATACGGATATCCTTGGGCAGGCTTGTCAATGCAAGCCTGTTCTGCTGCCGCCGTGAGGTATGTGATGTGTGGTTACCGGTGCTGGAGAGGGTTGAGGAGGTTCAGATGGACAGAGGACAACCTGGAAACGGCTTCACTCGCCATCGGCTGCATTCTGCTGCCGACCTGCCGCTTCAGCAACTTTGAGTGCACACGAGATCTCCCTCTGGTGTATAAGGCAGGATTCCCAACAGGAACCCCTTGACTAAGCCTTGTCAAAATCATCCGAGAACGGCTGCACAGCAACAGCATGCTCCATGCGGGATGGTGCTGATGCAGCAGGATTAGTTTTTGTTGGGCATCCTGAGTGTTGCAAATCTGAGTGAATACATCTGCGTTTCGAGAAGGGCTATGAAATCGTTCGGCGACAGCAGCTTGAGGTATGCTGCTGCTGCTGGTCTGCGGATCACGAGCTGTACCTTTCATCAATGCGGCTGGAAATGTCGACTTGCAGCTTTGCTGCAGCATGTGGCTGTTGCAGGCCGTATGCAAACCTACCATGATGAAGTTTTCAAGAATGGAAAGGATTGCTTGACAGGCAGATAGCTGGCATATCTGAAGCACGTTGATTGGTACGGGTGCGAGGTTTTCCGCAGAATAGCTGATCTTGGGGTGAAAACACAGGCCTACCTACTTGTGTTAGGGTTCGCAGACCCTTTCTAACCAAAGCATCCCTAGTTTTGCTGCTGCACCTGCGCAAACCACAAGAAGGCAATTCCTGTCGACATGCGTCTTTCTTTGGTGGTGCAAGCACCTGAAACTTCTGCACGTGCATCCGCTATTCGTTGCCATTGGCCTTTTGGCAGAAGCGCTCGCATTCCGGGGAGCTGAAGCCTCCTTCTTTTATTTTGCCATCTTTGTCATGGTGAGCTTGATTCTGGCTTTATTTTGTTTCTGGGCCACATTTGCGGGGTCGGAGCTTCTATTTCTTCGTGGCGAGCTTGTACATGCATCAGCCTGCAAGCATGTCCTTGCCCTTGTCGCCATCCATATGCTGTGGACATGTGTCATCCTTGCCATCTTTGCTTGTCCATTGGACATAGTTCTGACTTACTGGGAGCTGTACAACGGCTTCGTGCACGTCTGTGAGGGTTCAAAGCTGTTGTGCTGTACCCGTATCTTCGAGAATATACTGCAGGAGCAGGCGCAGAGTCCGGCCAGTCTGGCCACCCCGATCTTAAAGGCTCAATCCTGATGCGCCAGGGGCAGAGTCAACAGCCGCTTAGGGGCCAGAGTACAGTAGTCAGGTTGCGCGGCTGTGTGGAAGCAAAAAAGGCGTTGTTTGAAGCCGTCACGTCACCCTTAATCGAGTGCCCATGCGTAAATCCCATCGGGAGGCCGTTTGGCCGGTGTGCGATCTCGTGGTGTTGAAAGATCACTTTTAGGGTTTTGTGCTTAGGGCAAGGCCGCAAGGTATAGGATTCAAAGTTCGTGGATTACTGGACTAGCGCTCAGCATGTAGTTCCGGCTAGAGAGGACATCACAGCCCATGTACCTCTTGGCTCCACGCAATTTCTCGATCTGAGTTTCAGGTATTGGCAACCCAAGCCGAGCAGCTGCCATCGTAATATACCGCCAAGACAGATGGAGCACTAGCTTTCCCGACCGTGCGAATTTCACCGCCCGTCTATGTATTCATAGATTCATAGACTGATCACCTGCGTGAAGATGCGAATCATGTCTAACACCAGGTCACATCCTTCGACGCAGAAGCAGCCCGTAAGACAGTCATGCTGCTGAACTCCAGGTTTCGTCGGCCGCGAGGACGGTAAGAACTACCTACAAGCAGGCGCGGCACACGGCCTGCAAGCAGGCTGCTGGTGTCGATGTACAGCAGCAACAACACTATTGACATGTTGTCGTCGTCGCCGTTGTTGTTGCTGTGTCTGGAGTTGTTGCCGTTGCCGTTGCAGTTGCTGTTGCTGTTGTGTTGGTCGCTGGTCGTTGACCGTTGGTCGTCGTTGTCATTGTTGTTGTTTCTGTTGCTTCTCTTATTCATGCAGTTGCTCTTCTTCTTCTTGTTGCCGTTGTCGTCATCGTTGTCGTTCTCGTTGTTTTGATTAGTCCTGTTGTTGCTGTCACCTCTGTTGCTGCCGGTGGCGAAAGCAGGCAGGGTTGTGTCAGTGGGAGCCTCGTGGCACGGTGGTTGCTCTTGCTGACAGCATTGAGAGACCGATTTTAAATCATTCACACCACAAATGCGGCAGGAAGTGATGGAAGGTTTGCCCTCAGCCCGACTCCCCTGCAGTTCCAGGTCTGGACATTTTTCCAGAGAAGCGGTTCTTCTCTGCACGGCTCGCGAGCTTTCCAAAGGCCAGAAGAACACGAAGGGGTGGTATTTGAAGGGTCTTATGGGCGAGCTGTATGTACCTTGTGCCAGGACTGGTCGGAAGATGGAAACATAAATTCCGGAAGCTCTCCGACAGTGTTGACCCTTGAACTTCCGAGATCATCGACTGTGCAGGCAGCATGCTGAACAGTTCCTCTTCTGCCGATCCATATCGTCACAGCCACCATCACAACCGCGGCCATCACCCAAGTATTCTCCCTTGCCAGATGATGGGATTTGGTATGCCAGCGGGAGTCGTGGCCTCAACTCACAGGTTGCTCCTGGCCGAGCTCCCCGGTAGCCCGCGCGTAGATTTTGCGGGTTCAGGCACCACCAAGTAGCCAAGTACTAAGTCACCAGAAGTGCAACAAGCCGAGCACGTTGCCTACAAGAATAAACCACCTTCGAGAGTTCCATTTCGTGCATTGGGAAATGCATAAACTTGAAATGCTCAATGTGAGGGTGCGGGGCTTATGGAGAAATCGAAGTGAGAGCAGAGCGCGCCAATGCGGGCCTTTGTTTGCACTTTGCTCCTTCCGGAAGTTTAGGTTTCGAGGTACCTCGGGCCCTCCAGCCTTTCTTCTAAGTAAGAAGCCCGATGTCTGGAATCCGCGAAGCTCGTTGACAAATTCTGTTCTTCGTATCTTCGGTAGGAGTGCACCATCGAAGAGCGGAGCTACACTTCTACACAAACACAAAGCCTCGAATCTTAAACCCTATGCCGCCCTGCATCTTAAATCTCTCCAAGCCGAAATGCTAAAGCCAGACTTTTCCAAGATGGTTCAAGATAGTTCGGCGCCTGAAGGCTCCAGGGCCTTTCTTTGTGCGAGACGTGGTGCTCTTCGGGCGAGGCCCTCCGATAATCCCTTGTGTGCTGGTGTGTATGGAGAATCTGACGGGATTTCTGTGGGGCTGTATGCTTTGAGGAGGGTTTCTGTCTGTCTAGGCTTTGGCGGACTTGGGGTTTAGGGGGTTGGGTTTTGAAAGAATTTGACCTTGTCTTTGCTGTTTTCGGAGGCTGCTGCAAGGGAAGAAGCAGGCTGAGTAGGCAACGTGCGTATCTGAGGCGATTCCCCCATGCACCCACGCAGAAGCATCTCCGAAACTAACCGGGCAGTGCGATGCGCCGCAAACGCCAAAGCCCAATTCCCGCATACACTAAATCTCACCATATCGTCACAAATCGCTAAAAACATCCTTACCAAGTCCATATATCCAAGTTGCATCACAAAGAGGGGCACCTCAGCTTGAGCTTCGCCACTAACCCCAGGGGCGCTCCGTCCGGCACCTTTCGCCGGCCGGGATCACCTCGTGGAGGCAGCCGTAAGAGGGTTCCCTTCTGAAGGAAAGTCTAGCCACTCAAAAAAAAAGAAAGAGGCACCTCCCTTTTAGAGAGAGGTGTCGGTTTTGGTAGGGTTTTGGGTGTTGGTTTAGGGTTTACGCGGCGGGTAGCCGCGGGTTTAGAGGTTTTGGGGCTCTGGATTATGGGGTGTTTTCGCTTCTTATAAGGTAAGAAGTACAGTAGCCGTAGCCATAGCTACATGTACTAAAAACCAAGCTGGTACTGAAGTCAGGGAACGTGGTCGGGCTACGAGTCTTAACCCCTGACTAAGTCGCCTGAATTGAAAATTTGGGGTTTCGAACATTGGGGTTTAGTGGTTTGGATTTGGGGATCAGGATATCGGGTGTAGTCTAGAGTTTAGTCATGAAAATCATCTTCTCCTCCGGCACCCTTGCAGCAACTTCTAGGAATCTTAAGTCCTCAACCCCCAAATGTGAGATTCGAAGCCCTCAGCCTTCGGATTAGGCCTAAAGCTCAAACCCTCCCTGTACTAGGAAGCTCTGGAAATATCGTGTTCCAGCCGAATCATCCTAAGAACTTCCAGACGAATCCTGTGTGTTTAGATATGAAGGACTTTGGTGACACCAAAGCCCCAGCGACACCGAACCACGCAAACTTCAACGAAGTGGACTTCAATCTGAAGCCCTGGATAAGCCCTAAGCGCCTTAGAACCATGTCTAAATCCCAGCAACCTATAAACGCCTATGGACTGAACAGTCCCTTTGTTTACCCCCTCCAGAGCCCCTTCAAACACCCTTTACAACCACCCCAGACAAAGCCTGTAACACCCTCTTAAAAACCCTGTCTAACTCACCCGCGAGCACCCTAAACCCTGAACCCTACGCCCAAAATCCGAAATCATTGAACAGCAATTGTCACCCGAAGCCCTAAACCCAAAGTCCTAAATCATGAGCCCTAAACCCTCAACTTCAAAAACCCCAACCCCTCAAAACCCGAAACAGCCCGGGCCCCTTCCGCGGAGGTTCCGCTGACGCGCCGAGAGGCCGAGAAAGCCCTGCGAAGGGAGCGGCTCCCGGGCGAGGCGGCTTCGGCTTCGGCTTCCTCTCAAGGGATCTGTGAGGGATATTTAGGGTTTAGGGTTTAGGGCTTCAGGGGTTTAGGGTTTAAGGTTTAGGGTTTAGGGCTTCAGGGGTTTAGGGTTTAAGGTTTAGGGTTTAGGTTTAGGGCTTCAGGNNTAGGGGTTTAGGGTTTGGGGTTGCTAAAACGGGATCTTTAAGGGTTCCTTTCTTGGGATCTATAGCACTTCCATTAAAGGGATCTCTAAGGGTTCCTTATCGGGATCTACAAGGGGTCCTTTCAGGGCTGCCCTAGAAGGTTTCCTATAATCCCAAAGGAATACAAGATTTCGGTGCCCTATAATGTTAACACTATAAGGTTTTTTTTGTGGTCCTTGTAAGGGCTCCTGTATCAGGCTTCCTACAATCCTATACGATGTCGCTTTGTTTCGTGAAAGGAAAGCATCCAAAAAGATTTCCTATGAGATTTCGTGTTATGGTTCCTTGCAGGGTTCCTTTAATGTAGGGGTTCCCTGTATGGTTCCATCAGGTTGCTATCAGCGTGGCTATACGGGTTGCTGAAAGCGCTACTTCACAGGTTCCTACAAGTTTTCGATAAGGGTTCTGTAAGGCTGGGTCTATTTAGGCTTCAGGGTTTTAAGGGTTTAGGGGCCTAGGTGTTTTGGGGTTTACGGTTTTCTGAAAGGTTATCAGGTACATTTATAGGGTGTTTCAGCGGTTTTCTGAAACCTTGTAGAGGCTCTACCAAACTCCATCGAGTTTCGATACATTCGGGTTTCCTGAGTTGTTCTCCAAAGTTTTATGGATGTTTGTAGGGTTGGTTCGGTAAGGGTTCTATAGCAGGGATGGGGTTGAGGGTTGTAAGAATTAGGACACATGGGGAGGTTGCTTTATCGGGTGCATAAGGCTCCTACAGGGTTTAGGGTTCAGGTTTAGGGTTTAGGGCTTGGGTTTGTGGTTGACTTGACCTTGGAACAGGTTGCCATTTGGGGTTGTAGATGCGTTTCGACAGGAATAGAAGGCTTTGTAAGGTCTGATGTTTAAAAGGCTTCTGTGCTAGTTTAGAACCCTTTTGAGAGGTTTTGGGGGAACTGTCTTGTTGACATTTCGCGGTGTTTCGTAAGGCACGGTCCTGGTGTTTGAGGTACAGGGGCCATTGGGGAAGGTACTTCTTGCAGCCTTGGATTGGGCAAGGTATCCTAGATTCATGGATCAGCAATATGTGCAGGTGCTCGCCCTTACGGCTGAGACTGACGACAAGGAGAAGGACAAGTGTCATCCTGACTGCTGCAAAGTACCCTTGTAAACGCCCCTTCGTATGTTGCGGGCCGAAGCTAATGACGGGAACAAGGAGGGCTAAGCGGAAAACCAAGAGTCATACATACATGCATGCATACATAAATACATACATGTACATACACAGGTATTATACAGACAGGCAGGCAGGCAGGCAGACGGACTGACTGACTGACTGACTGACTGACTGACTGACTGACAGATTGACAGACGGGAAGACGGATAGACCGATAGACGGATGGACCATAGACAGATAGACCGATAGACAGATAGATAGGCATACATGCATGCGCGCAATCGGTATACAAGTTCGTCCAAAGACACCCACTTCAAAGATTGTTCGAAGCAATATATAGAGGCAGCGTTGCACGCTCTGTGGTCTGCATGTTTCACGGTCGTCAGCGCATGTCTGTCACTGCCCATGGAGCTTTCATTGTGCCTGTGCATTGTGTGGACATGAGTGTTTTGAGGTTCTGAGGTGATGCGCGCCAAACGACAGAGATGCTGTGTGGTCTGTCCACGTGGGCCACGTGTAAGTCCTTTCCGGTTTCTGTCGCTCCTTTCTATACTCGGAAAAGAGGCACTCAAGCAGTTATGCATGCCACAAGACAGCACGGGTGTGGAACCTGTGATGTGTCTGTGCAAGCAGTAGGATCCGAGTTTCATACGGCATGCCACAGGACAGCAGGTCCGAGTCAGGTTTAAATTAATGCTGTGCGTTTGAGAGAAAGACCGTCGGAGTTTGCTACGCTCGCACACTTGCTGTGAATCTAACGAAAACATAGGAACTCCCCCCCACTCTGCATGTCAACCTACCAGCCAAGCCCACCTTAAATGGTTTTACACACTTCTTGTCTTGATGTCGTAGCCTGAAAACCAGGTCTCTGCCCCCCTTCCTGCAAAGGACTTAATAGGGCTTAGGGTCTGTTTAGAGTTTATAGACGTGGTTTCTTTAGTTGATTTCAAGTGTTAGCGATATGCTTTGGGTCCCCTTGATGGGAAACACGAGGGTTGGAATCTCCTGGTGTGAAGGCAGAAATGCTCCCACCTTGTAATTCGCTATGAAAAAATGTTTCACTCGGGGTCCCAGCGGGCATTGAAAAGTCCATATCAAAAGCTATGCAGTGGGCAGCGGCAGATCAGGATGATGAAGCTCGTTCCAACCTTTCTTCCAATAAGGAGTGTGAGTCGGGTCCGGCAGAACATGTGGGGTTTCAGGGGTGTGAAGCTGCAAGGAGAACAAAGAGAATCCGCCTGGAAAGACTCCTTGGTGCAAATCTCAGAGGGATGGGACTGCCTTGTCCATTTTGCAATGGTCTGCTACGGTATCCAATCTTGTTGGGGTTTGAGATCATCGTCGGAGTAGTAGTAATACCAATCTGTAGTAACTGTAGTAGTAGTAGTAGTAGTAGTAGTATCAGTAGTAGTAGTAGTAGTAGTAGTAGTAGTAGTAGTAGCAGTAGCAGGACTAGCAGTAGGTAGGCCCAACCTGCAGCGCCGGTTGGTGAAAATTCGGGTTCGAAAGAGTGAGGGCAAGGAGTCGTGGTGCTGCCAAAAGCTATGGCCAACAGATGTCCAAAAGCCAATGCCACGCAAATTTCTGCAGCAAAGCTCCTCGTCAAGGCCAAAAGGCCAAGAGGCCATGCTCCTCGGGCACCTTGACGTACTTCCGAGGTTGAGGGCACTCAATACTTCGACGACACATTCCCCAAGCCCCGTATGGCAACAGACATGGAGAGCCATCCCATGCGCAAACTGGGTCTGCTGCACAAAGGGTCACTCCTTTCAGGCTCTTGGCGACACAAGCGCAAGAATTCCGTGAATCAGAGCGATTGTTTAGGTCCTGAGTGCAACAAGGCATTGTCAAAGCAGGCATCGATTTGCAAGAACCGTGCAACCGAGAGCAGAGGGGCGCTCCAAGGCGGAAGATGTTCTCAGATGGAATCCTGGAACCTCCGGCCGAGAAGCCGGCCAAGACTGAGGCCCGTCCTCGGATGCCCAGTTTTGGAGGGATTTAGGGTTTTGGGGCTTCGTGACGGTATGGATTTTGCAGCCTCTTGCTGAATTGCTATCGTTCTATTCCCGTATAATTAGCCTCTATGATTCAACCTAAACTAACCCCCCCTAAAACCTAAGTCTGATCATCAAGACCCCTCTATATAGTCCGTGTGGCAACCTGTCGCCTTCTGGTCGCGGCATGGTTTGGGCCAGTCGGGTCGAAGCGCGTCCGTGCATGTAAGTGGGAATAATCTACTCCAGGAATCTTTCCTGCTGTGTTCTGGCTTTATGATTTCTATCTGTCCAAACGTTGCACTGCAGAATTCCGTTCCATAGTGCTGGAGTCTTGGTGACGGGTGCTTCAGGTTTATACGAATGATCTCTCTGGGGTCTCGCTCTTTCCTTGCGGGACGGTGAAGACTTAACGCCCGAAAAGCTTTCGTGTTCCTCTTTGCCCAGGTTACTACAGAGCTCTGAAGAAGTTAGTTGGAACATACCCTCTTCACTCCTTTGAAAAAATTACCCCTGAAGCCTTACCGTATTCTAACTCCGTATTATGTCGACTCACAGCTTCCGAGACTGCGGGGGGTAGGGGGGCAACGCAACGGGGTTCCAAAGCCCTGGTTTTCGGAATAGAACTTAAAGTCATACTTATAAGCTCTAGAACCCTAAACTCAAACCCTAAACCCTGTACGCTTGCACACACCGCCACTCAACCAAGTGCGTGCGGCGAACACGCACATGCAACCGCGTCATGTGTTGTTGTGCATCAGTCCACAGCTTGCTGCTGCAAGTCGTAGGTGTGGTGTGCTGAACCGCTCGCGGTTCTTCACAAGCAAAAAGTGACGCTGTGTTTATCGCTTGTTGGTTGTGTGCTTCTCTTCTTCTGTATGCGCTGCTGCGCCCACCAGCTCGGAAGTACAGGCCTTCGCCCTTTCAAGAGGAGAGGCAGAAGCTGGTTCTCCACATGGATCCTGTGTCGACTCGGGCCGTCATGACGAAGCTGCAGCGGTGTCCCAGCGTGTTGGCAGTTCTTCTTTAAGACCGTCAGTTACTGTTTGCAGCCGAGCTGTCAACTCGCTACGAGAGCAGGAGGACATGTCGCGCAAGAAATTCGCGAGGCAGCTGGTTGTTTTGGCTCGCGGAGTTGCTACTGAAAGTGTGGTGCTATCAAGCTTGGCGGGTCGGCGGGATGACCAGCTCGAGTTTTTATTTCTTGATCGAGCGCCGACCACGTTGCGTCGTCATATTGGGAACTGGCGGAAGTGGTCGGAGTTTTGTGCTGCCGTCTCGTCGAGCCCTGGGAACCCCGCATTTTGTCTCTTGCTCGATTTTTAAAACGCCTTGTCGATGGACGCTCACTCTGACCGTGGGCGAGGGTGGCGTGGCAGGGCTGTGGGTGTTGTTTCGTCCTGGCGATTCGTTGCCGCCAAGCTTGAAATTCAGCCGTTGTCTGACATGCTGAATTCTTCTTCTGTGTGCTCCTGGACAGGTGCAGACAAATGGAGCCGCATGCCTTGAGGCCTTGCCATTATCTTTGGGTATTGTCATTGAGTTGGAAAAAGGCGCAGCTGCTGCTGATGACCACGACGCTTGGCCGTTGCTGTGCATCTTATTAACGATCTGGGCAGGGCTACGGTGGAGCGACTGCCAACACAGACTTTCAATCAGATGTTGTTGACAAAATCTTTGTTCGCGCATGGTGCTGGCGATCGAACACTTCTGCAGTCGGAATTCCATGAGATGTTTTCCTTGAGGGTGCTTCTGGTTTAGGCTGGGGGCATCGCTTTGGTCACTTCTTGCTGCAGGTATCCGAGCAGGACAAGAAGCGCGATTTCTTCATGTGTCGGAACAACGCGCCCCTAAGCTAGAGCTCGATGCTGGCCATCTTTAGACGGTGCCTGATTGGGTATGCCGGTTTGGGCCCTTCAGAAGCCATGCGTTACACCCTGCACAGCTGCAAAGTCACGACTTTGAGCTGGGCGAACTCAACTGAAAGCACTGCAGGGGCACCATGCTACTGTCGAGGTTGGGTAGTCAGCCCGAAAGTACCGCAGAGTGTCGTGTGTGATGGGACCCTGCCTGGGTCCTTTCACTCCATGGTGCGTCCGGTCCAAAAAAACGGTGTGCCTAGAGTGAATTGTGAAGCGTGTGCCATTGTGTGTGCTTACATAAACCGTAGAACCTTAAACCCTAGAGCCCTACACTCTGAATCTCTAAACCCCCAAGCTCTCAGAGAGCGTGTGCACGGCATCAATTCCTTCATAGAGGAGCCTGAAAGGCAGCTGTAAATAGCCAAAGCGAAGGGAAGCCCTATGAAACATTATTTTGTCTAATACCAGTATAAAAAGGCGGAAAATCTTGCAGCCTGCTACCCTCCTCAACACCCCTGTAACAACCCCAAAAAGCTCGACAAAACGTTAAAAAACACAAAAGCTCTAGCTTCTATGCCAACCCTCTATAACAGCCTTGTATTCCTTGAGGGGTAGGTCGGGCTCTGCGACGCTGAGGACTCTGAAGCTCCCACGCCTTGCTGCCTCGTGGTCTGCGAGTCCGGCGAGCTCCCCCGACCTGTCGTGGGACTGTACAGGGGGTGCTAATACAGGGGCCTAGATAAATGCCAATACTATTTTGGGGTGCCTTGTAATAATTATAGTATAATACAATCCCCAAGCCTTATTCAAATTGATAAGGCCCCTGTATTATACGTTTTTTACAAGGGCTTCTATAAGGGCTTCACGGGTTCTCGCGGACGTCCTCGTCCTCGGCCTCATCCTCGTCGTCATAGTCTCGTCATCGTCGTCGTCGTAGTAGTAGTGGTACGGTGCGTGGTAAAAAAATCCTGCATGACTGTTCTGTGCTTCCCCAAATCCCGATTTCAATGTAGTGAAAGCCATGACGTCATGCATTAGTTTTGTCATTCGTGGCCGTCTTGTTTTTGCAGTGGTTCTGAGCTCAATGTCGAGATCATGGGGAAAAAGAGCCCTGTGCAGAAATCGCTGTAATATTCTTGTATCAAGAGTATTAATTAGCAATGGCAACAGGAGCAGTGACAACACGTGGTTGTGTTAGCGGCAGCGGCAATAGAAGGCCACTTCTAGCAACAGCATGAGTAACAGCAATAGCAAAGGCATCAGTGTTGTAATAGTGACGGTAGCGTTATTGCTTAAAGTTCTTCAACAATTGAAAGCCTGCTCTACTATCCAAAAGCGTTGCTCTGGCATCCTCGTGATCCGGGCATTCAGGAAAGTTCGATCTAGGTCCGCCTCCCGAAAGATGTCGACCAGCAAGACGCGGATCGTTTTGCAAACCAGGGTTCCATCTAGGAAGCTTCCTTGTCACAAGTCACAAGAGCGGCACAGACTCTGCACGGACCCAAAAGTGGACCCTAATTTGGAGACCTGCCCGCACGATGCTCTGCAATGCCAGTCGCGCGACGGCCGTGGCCGAGAAGCTGAAAGGGCAGGCGGCTTTCGCAACACGCAGTGGGTTGCAAATCCGGAGACCTTCAAGGACCCCTCGTTTAGAGAAGGACTCAAATCCTCCAAAGCCTAACTGCTGCTGCTGCTGCTGCTGCTGCTGCTGCTGCTGCTGCTGCTGCTGCTGCTGCTGCTGCTGCTATCACTACTGCTTCTTCCTATTGCTATAAAGATTCGTATTACTGCTACACCCGAAGCAGGTCGTACCGGGCCTTCCGAAGACATGGCCGCCGCAGGACGCAGGCACCGATCCTCCATTCCGGGCATGAGCTCATGTGGTTCAGGGCTCTAGGGATTTAGGGTTTGAGGGTTTAGGGTCCAGGGCTTGACGTTTCAGGAGGTTGGTCTAAGGCTTTTGGCGCTGAGGGTTTAGGTTTACGAGAGAAACGTTTAGTAAGGCTGGAGGCATTTGAGCATCTAGCGTCGACCAGAGAAATCTAAACCCAAGGAATCGAAACCGAAACTCGAAATCCTCAGTGTTTCGCATGTCTCCTTCAGCCATCTGTCGAAGCCCGAAGCCCAATGCCTCAAGCAGCAAAAAGCAGAAATGCAAAAGTGAAGGTCGCGAGGACAAGAACAGGTAGGAGACCACGACGACTACTGCTACGCCGCTTCCTCCTCCCTCCTCCTCCTCCTCCTCCTTCTCTTATTGCTAGTATTCGACGACGACTACACTACCATGACTACTGCTGCTGCTGCTGCTGCTGCTGCTACTACTACTACTACTACTGCTACTACTACTACTACTACCGCTACTACTACTACTGCTACTGCTACTGCTACTGCCACTACTACTACTACTACTACTACTACTACTACTGCTACTACTACTACTACTACTACTACAACTACGACGGCTACTACTAGTACTAACTGCTCAGGGC